TGCCCTGCCTTTCACCCATACATATTCACAGTGGGTGCAGTGAAAGACGTGTAGGTCAGGAGGGAGAATTGCTCAGGGTGGCCAAGTTGGGTTGTAATGAAGAGAAAAGGTAAAAAGGCAACATCAGGTAATGAAAACACTCCCTCTGGACCAAGGTGATGGCAGCTCCAGCCTTGTCTCTAAGGTTGCAAGGTTTTCAATCCCCTACATGGCAAGAAAAAGTCCTGGAGATAAGTGCACTACATTGAGCCTTTACAGGTGCCTGGTGTACAGCCAGAGTGACACTGTGCTATCCCAGGGCTTCCCCAGCTCCAATGCCTTTGATCCTCTGCTGTTCAGCATAACAGCACGAGGCACTGAGTCACCCCTCAGTCCCACAGGAGAATGAGGATTAATTAGTTGATTCTGGCACATGTCTTTAAAGAGAGATACTCCACTGCCACACAAGTCACAGGTTGTTACTGAGCTGAGTCAAATGCAGCCCTTGCTTCACATCTCTGATCTCTGGAAGACCAAGAAAATGAAACAGCAGTTGGGGACAAAACCTGAATGTTCATATTGGGGTGATGCCAATGCTGCTGTCAAAAGTAGGATAATGGCCAGCACAGAGGTTCAGGAGAGCTCTGAGCTGACCAGTGCAGACAATGATAGTGCCTCAAGGACTGCCAGTCCTCAACAAACACCAAAGGTGTTTCAGCAATCCGAGCACAGGGCAGGAGCAAGGCAGGCCCAGTCACAGCACGGCACTGTCACTTTGTCACTGCACAATGAGCACATAGCAAGACTGGAGAGCTGTCATGGGAAGACAGAAAAGCAATACTCCATACTGACAGAAAATGGGGAAAGCCTCCTTAGCTTGTTTAATGCTAGCTGGGCTTTTTAGTTTTTTCCAGCATGCCTGAGCACAGGTGCTTCAGCTGGCTGTGGCACAGCTTGTTGTAGTGCCAAGAGGGTGTTGGGATCCCGAGGCTAGAGTAGACCCTGCACACCAAGGCCATGTTTCCCAAGGGGAGGTGCTCTCTCGTTGTTTTTGTCCTTGCCCCATCTCGGTGCTCCTTCCCGTGACACACAGAGCCCACGGGGCTCTCGTACCCAGCCCGCAGCTGCACCTGGGCCGGCGGCGAGGAGGCTGCCTGCACGTATGTAAAACATGGGCTCTCTTTCACACACCGCTGACTTCCCTCGGCAAAGGAGGCGGCGGGGCAGGGCACACGGGCACGGTGCCTTTCCTGGCTCCTCTTAAAATGCCCCAGCACACAGTAAGCTCCAGGGGGATGAGAGATGTGACATTGTGGCACGTGGCAGCTCTTGCAGAAAGGAGCCTGTGGCAAAGGAAACGTGGCCCAGCACGGGCTGGGAGCCCATGCTACTCAGCTGCCAAGGAGTCTGAGCAAGTCACGTCACTCCAAAGTCCCCCGTGCCCAACCTCTCTTGCACACCGGTTCTTCACAGCCAAGACAGCCCCTGATGCACAGAGCTGACCCGAGGGGATGCCTTCCTGCCTAGAATCGCCATGCTGTATTAATATTTAACAGTGAGGAAGAGATCCAGAGACTTTGATTTCCCCACTGGCCAATTCAAGGATAATTGAACTGTGCAGGGAATTTTAGCATTTCAGCGGATGGTTTCGTTCCAGTTCACACCAAAACCTTAGCATGCCGCAATGCCTTATGAGGATTGCAGCCAGTTTCAGGCAGCCTCCCTGCAGTGGATGGACTCAGGCATGTAAGCAACACAAAAACGCTGATCTTAGGAGCTGCCCAGCCAGCAGCTCCCACCAAACCCTCCCCCACAGAACTTCGGTAAAAGTAAAATTCTCCTAAAGAGGAAAAAAAATGTTGTTTTTTTTCTGAACGTTTCCACTCAATTCCAAATTTGTGATTCCAAAGTAATGTCAATTTGCCCTTGTTACACACCCCCAGTGGAGGCAGATCCCGATGTAGAAGCACAGCAAGCAAAGGACAGTGAATTTTCACACATGTGCCCAGGGTCATGCAAGAAATCAGCCACAGAAGTGAAACAAATGCAGCGTTTTTGGCTCCTGCCTCTGGGCTGTACCAGCTATTGCTTTCTCTTGCATATAAATCACTTTTCCCCACCAGTGAAGGACAGTTGGCCACTGAATGGAAAGTGTCAGTTGTCGAGCAGCCCACAGCAACACTGCACACCGGCTTAGGGTGGGGAGTGGAGAACACTCAGAGCGCAGAGGAGACTGCCAGGGGATCTGGGCCAGCTGAATAGAAACAGAGCAGCTGGAAACAGCCAGTGCTCCTGCAAAATCAAGACAAGTTAAAAACCCCACAGGAAGAAGCCTCTTCCTTGCTTTTTGCAGAGGAGCAGAGCTGACCTCTGCCACAGCTCTGCCAATCAGCTCCAGTTAGCAGAGCAGGAGTTCCTCTTCTTGTCCACCACTGCTGAGAACAGTGGTCATGATGACGGCAACCAAGGAGCTCTTACAGCTTGACCACAGCTGCTAAGCACCACAGCTGACCCAAGCCAGCCACTCCCTTCAAACTACAGGTCCTGGCAAGCAAAGACATCCAGTTTTAACCAGTCCCCAAAGCAAATATCAGAGGTGGCCTTGAATCTAAAACTCTACCACCAAGTTTCAAGGTTTGGAAGGGACAGATATATCCCCAGGGTTGGATTTATCTCTGATGTTTGTTACAGGAACAGAGAGATCTTTTATTATGGGTGCTATTTCAGTATGCAGACTTTCTCTCCCATTGATATAGACTGAGCATATCTTGTTTTATCATGCTTAAAAATTGGTCTGATTTAACTGCTGGTACAGCAGAGTCAGTCTTAGAAAACCTGGCACAGTGGAGAGATGTAATCCCACCAAGCAAGCTGATTTGTGCCAAAATCTCTCACAGATCACCTCTGTGAGATGTTCGGGTAGCAGGCTGAGGATGCAAAGTCTTCTTCAAGGGACTGGATTGAAAATGAAATCTGCTATAGTAGAGGAAACTATATTACAACCTCATTTAGTTCCATCCCCCAAAAAAACCACTGTGAGACTAAAGTTTACAGCAGTTCAACTGGTATGAGCTCTTCTATACTAATTAAACTGGTTTTATTCTAATTTTGCTGACATAACTGACAAAGAGAAACACATCCACAAACTGAAACAGTCAAACGCTCACGGGTACTTTCACCAGAGAGGGGGATTCCTCTTTGAAAATCTCCACAGGGATAGGGAACTGAGGCGAGAGAGAAGAGAAAGCAAGTAATTTCAAAATGTTTCTGTTAGTTTAGATTTCAATCAGCTTGGTAAGCTCTTTCATGAGGTTTGAACAATAGAACCTGAGAAACTAGCCTTAATTCAGCTTCAGGCCTTCCATGCCTCTGATCCAAATGCAAGTACTACTTTCACAAGACCTTTATCAAACATTAGCCCTGGCTACTCCATCCAGATGAAAGATATCCTTAGCTGCCTTGTCTCCTCTGGTAGTAAGGGCAGTGTTATGGCCTGTCTAAACTAATAGCTGACAGCTCCTAGAGGTATTTACATAGTTGAAGATGTAGCTTTAGATGTGTCCCAACTACTTTGGATTGTAAAACATGATGGACCTGAGACACAGTGTCATATTCTTAGACACGCTCTGCTTCCCCTGCCAGTTCTAGTAAATACTTTCTCCTAAGAGTAAGAAAAATATTTGCCCCAAGGTAAAGCAAGATGCTGCTCTTAAGGAACTAGATTTTATTATGTACCAGCTGAGATGCAGCCACATGTAGGAAGTAAAAACAGCATCTTTCTTCTTTGAAAGTAGAAGGGAAGAAATACTCCACCTGAAATGTAACAGTGGAAAAAAATCCCCTGCTTAAAGGTGCAGGAATGGACAGTAGCACATATGGGTTACTCCAAAGCATTCTGGGTGAACCAAAAAATAAAGTTTCATTTTCACTAGTCAAAAAAGCACAGTGAAATTACTCTTGAGGCCAAGTGATTTAACCTGAGTCCATCAGTTATTAGAATCAACTGGAGAGCAACCTAGGAGATGGAAAAGTCTCCTTGCCTTATAGGAGTTGCAGAGGACACAAAAGAGTGGCTCATTTTATGCCACTTCCTTTCCTTTCCTCCCACAGACTGCACCTGCACATCAAGAGCAAATCGAAACCAGCCTGTACTCTAAGCCACGGTCTCCTTTATTTTGAGGGACTCAAAGCAAGAGCAAGGCTGAGACAGCATAACCAACACAGAAACTTGTTTCTCAGCATGATTTCCCCTCTCTGGTGGCTAAGTCCTGGTTAGTACCTTCAGGATGGCAAAGCTAGCTGAAAGTAGGGCATGCCCATTAAGCTTCCAATCCTCCTTGCACAGCTACGACAGTTTGCACATGTCTTTCTCCTTTGGGTTTTAGCCAGAGTCCAGCCCTTTTGGGCATCATAACACAGCTGAATGGTTTAGCTCCTTTTGTTTCAGCTGACAAACACCCTAGCCCTCCCCCATCAGCAACAATACAACTGGAGCTGGGATTTGTGCGTCCTCTGAGCAAGGATACAGGCTTTGTGCCTTGCTGAGCTGTCTTTGCAAGGACTGCCAACACTCACAGCTGATTAAGCCTGCAGTGCTGCTTTCTGCTTTTCCTGTTCACAGACAGATGTCAGAAACAAACTAACCGAAACAGTGCACACAGCTAGAGCTCTGCACCTAGGAACATTAAAGCAGACTATTAGGGATTAAATAAATTAAATCAGAGGGGAGCTTAACACATTCTCTCTAGGCTTCATTTCTACCTGGCATGCAATTCTCGGTAAGAAACATCCCAGCATTTCAAAAAGCACTGTATTCTGGCAGGTGGCTCAACTCAATGAACAGAAAGGGCTGTATTTGAAAAGCTTTTGCCACCACCACATGGTTGAAGCCACGAGTGCAGCAAAACAACTAACTGGGAGTTTGAGCTGCCAGCAAGGACCAGCCTGCCAGGGCAAACTGGGACAAGTGTCCGCAGGTTTTAGAGCCCGTTGCCACATAGCTAATAAAGAGCATACAACAATTACATGACTTATTTTATTAAATTAGAACTCTCAAACCTTAGTGACTTGCAGTAAGCACAAGGAACAACTTACTGCTGGTCAGAACCTGTTAGTAAAGGGATTATACACAGCATATTGCAAAACAGTCGAGACAACCTGTTTTCTGTGTGCTGCTGTGGTCTGGCCTGCTGGGTTTCACCTCTGGTCAGCCCCACAGGCTGCATTACTGGGGCTGTCTTGGGCTTGACAGGTGAAGTCTTTTTCTTCAAGGATATAAGAGAAAGCTAAAGTGCTAGATTGATTATCTTCTTTAGTCCCTTCCTTCCCAATCAGGTACCAGGCTTGGAAATAGTGAGTCCTTTGCTGGGCAGATGCTCACACAGTTGGATCATTAACTACCAAGTGCAGTCTATCTGGAAGCTGCAGGCCAGCCTTCCCCATTCTTCTCTCGGTGGACAGACAAAACCTGGCAGCAAGGTTTCATATTAGACTGCATTTCAACTGAAAGAAAGCAGGAGCCTGCTGCCTCTGCTCTGGTACTTTAGAGACAGTAGTCTGTTCTTCTAATATTCTCTCAGAAAACATGTAGCTCCTGGCCACTGGCCAAGTGGGGAAAAAACTCAAACTTGATCATGAAATGGGATTCAGATGTAATAATGGATAGGAATATCCAATTCAAACTGCCCTCCTTATCTGTTATCCTCTGAATGGGAATCAAAACTTTTCTTGAGATGTAAGCAACTAGGAACAGTTCTGGATGAGTGGTCATGACAAGTCACACAAAAAAAGCTTCCCAATGTGATGCCAACTGCAGCAGCTTGAATGCCTGACATGAAAACAACCTGATAAATGTGTCTGAAGTATCACAATGAGAAGCTAGTCACCATTAGAATTTCTCATCAGCGAGGCAAAGGACAAGGCAGAAACTCCTGGTACGTGACCAGCACAGATCTGTAACATTCGAAGAAGTCTTTGGGCAGTAGAAACTCGAATCTCTTCCAACTGGAAACAAAATGGAGAAATTATTTAATCAATAGAAAAGAACAGCAACTGTAAGCTTTGACCAAAAAAAAGAACCAGAGCAGGTATCAAGCAGCTGGCTACAGAAAACTCCAAACAGGCCCATTTACTTCCCTGATGTTAAGGAAGGTACAGCATTGCCAGCTGGGAAGTGCTGAAGGGCTTGCCAAAGGCATGGATTCTACCTGCTGGTAGGGAAGCAGTCTCTGAGGATGCAGTGACAAGTACACAGAAAAGTGAAGTGTGATGCTGCTGAATGCCAAACTCTCCAATTACCTGCTTGGTCTGAAGAGCTGGAGGGAAAGAGTGGCACATCGGATGGCAAAATGGTCAGTAAAGCCACAAAGCTTGGCTGACATAAAACATTACATGGGCAAGGGAGTCACATGGCAAATAACAGCTCAGGGGCTCCCAGGAAGAGAAAATGCTACAAGGAACAAGTGTACCAAGGCTTTGCATATCAGAGATTTTTTTTTATTAGCTGAGGCTTGGCTTCATGAGGTTTTGAAGTAGCAAGGAAGGAATAGATTACTAGATTTCAAGGAGAGCCAGACTCCTGTAGCTCTACTGTTCTTGCAGATAGAGTCTGGTCTCTGACACTTATGAAAGCCAGTAGCATATGTACTTATTGTTATGTGACTTTATTGCAAATATAACGGTGTTCTTAACAATTATAGAGCACTGAAATTCAGAAATCCCTTGATGTCAAATAAGCACCGTACCTCCAGCTCACAGAATAGCACAGGACTGCAGTAGGTTTCTCCTAATTTACAGATGGCATTCATCTCAATGCTGCAAGCATTCACCCTGCCAACTAAAAACAAAAAAAGTTTTCCTACATTACAAGCCTCATAATCAGCAATCGGTGAAGAAAAGTTCTAGGAAATTCCACACCCACAGAACAATCCAGAGCTAATTTTGAGAGTATAATGAAAGGTAAGGCAACAGTGAGTAGTGCAAACAGAATGGTACAAGTTTTGAAATGGAATTAGCACAGAAGTCTTTCATAATACTAACAGCAGGAATAGTACCACATCACTTCATGTAACTTTAGCATTGTGCATAAGGGATCAGCACACTATCAGCAGGGCAGAGTCTTCCACTCACTCACCAAAAGTCCTCCTGACTCATATGGTATCACAGAATGGTCCAGTCTCCAAGGAATTCACTTCACCAAGAAGTGACATAACACAAGACAATGCTAATACTCCTTCTCTACCTCAGAATTAGCCCTCCTGACCCCCAAACTCCAGAGACACAGCACCTATGTTCCAACACTGAGCAGTACAGTCTGGCCCCTCCAGCTTCTCAGAGCTGAAGTAGGGAGAGTACACAGCAAAGCACTGGGGTACAGAAGGATTAGAGGCACAACAGAGCCAGACAGTACACAGTAGGGATACCAATCTTGCATTAAAACTATTCTTCCTAGTTTTGTAGCTCATCTATTTAGATTCACTTTATTACCACAGTATCATATGCTTCTCACTGCTCATTAAGATTATCATGAAGACAGATCTGCAAGAGCAGATAGAACAGACTTCTAGAGTGCCACACACACACACAAAAAAAAAAAAAAAAAAAAAAAAAAAAATCAATAACACAAATCATATTCAGGGATTAGGGACAGAGAAGAGAGGTCTGACTGGCAAAAATAAAAAGGAGAGAGCAAGTGATCGTGAGAGAACCGCATTTTATCCAGGAAAACAACAAAAAAAGGCAGAGGAGTTCAGAAATAATTTAAACAAAGTTTCAACAAAGCCACTGGTTTCCTTTAGTTTGTTTCAAGTTTAGTCAGTGGCCTGTTTTAAGAAAACCAACAGTGAGTTGTGCTGCATGAAGAGGAGGAAGAGGTGCCATACGTGACTGTAGGAGCTGCTGGTCCGGATGGTCAAGACTGACGGAGAGATTTCTAAAGCCAAGTGTTGGAACTTGTAGTTTATTGCATAGGGCGTGGGTAAAAGGGCCCTGCTTGGAGCTGCCAGCTGCAGCTCAGAGCAGGCCCGTAAGAGCAGGAGGGCAAGAGTAAAAAGAGTAAAGAGAGAGCAAGGGATAAGAGGTAAAAAGTAAGAGAGTAAAAGTAAGAGCGGTAAGAGAGCAAGGCTCCCGTTACAATACAATAAATCTTCTGTGTTGAATATTCTAATTTTCACTAACCAATCTAATACAAGATACAAATCCTATAGCATTTACATACAGCCTATAAGAATCACTACATTACCATACTGCGTTACACTTTAAGCCCTAAAAACTCCTCTTTGGACCCTCTTTCCCAAGCTAGTAGGGTCTTCTCTGACCCTTGGACCTGTCTGCAAGCAGAGGGAATTGTTCAGTCAAAAGGGGATTACTTTCAGCTGGCCATACTATTGTTTTCTAGTTGTTCAGTAACTAAGGTTTGGTATCTCAAAGATGGCTTTCATTTCAATCTCGCTTATAGTTTCCATAGTCTCAAAATCTTTTGCCAGGCAATCATATTTATAAGGTTTTCCATTTTCATCTTCCCCAATACGTACCCCCAGTGACGAGAAAGCACACTTTCCCCAGGAAGAAGCTGGCATCCACATAAGGTAGGGAAGTTTCGACATTCTTCAAGCTGTCAGAAAAGTATAGACAATCTAGTTAGACAGGGAGGCTAAACCAGTGCAGCATAAGGACAACAGGAATAATTTTCAGAAGCACAATTAGAAAACCAATGATGTTAACATCTGCTGATTTGTGAGCTCGCAAAGTTCTGCTTTATGCTAAAAGCATGACATCAGAGACCTCTGTAATACCCACAGCTGTTTAATAACCCATAACATATCCTTTCTACTCAAGACTCAACAGTTAGAGTTACTTTGAACAGTGTCCTCCATGATTTACAGACACTAAGCATCTGAATTCATTAATATCCAATGAAACTTCAGCACTACTTCGGCTCGTTCAGGAAGCGCTTGCCCACACATTTCTGCAGCACCATCTGTGCTGTAAGTATGCAGCTGGGCCTGTCATTTTTGGTAAATGAGAGCCCAGGATCATCAGTCACAAGTTAAGTAAGTAATAAAATGCTGACTTCTGTGCCTTAGCAAGTCTTACTTGTGGCCGGGGAAAACAAGTATCATTTCTACCAAGGCGAGCACAAGAGGATAGAAAAGGGATCAATCCTTGCAAACCTTTCTCTTTTGCCTAGAGACATCCGTAGTGCTGATCCCACTGGACCAGGAGTATCAGTGAACTGAGGATACAGACACAGCCACTTGCTGTTACTGGGCAGCACTGCCCAATGCACATCAGACTTCTGCATATTATAGAACTTCACAGCACCACCAGCACTTCCATCTAATTCTACAGACAGCATCTTTCCAAAGCTCAGTTCATATTGTCACATATCCAGCGCCAGAAATAAATTCTGCCTTTCTGCTATGGCAACTTAGTGCACAACAGGCATGTTATTGGAGAGAGAAATTCAGCCCTAATCCACTGCTGGAGGCCAGAAAGCCACTGTATATATTACTGAGTTCTTCCACCACAGCAAGTCTTGGGTTTGAAACCCACTATTCAGCAATTCCAACACAGTAAAAATGCAGATTTAACCATCAAATCAAGAAATAATATTAGTCCCCCCTCTCATATTTTTGCCCTTCTTTTACCTGTACTTGCTCTTGATGTCAATCATAAACACAACCAGATCTATCCTGGGTCGAAGATGATCCCTCTCTGAAGGTAAGGGGAGGGATGTAGCAAGATGACTGAAAGATAACAAATTTGCCAGTTTAAATCAAATAGCTTGGGAAGACGGTATCCACTTACCCATAATCACATAACCACTGCAGTTCACCCTGTAGCAAGTTACCAGGAAGCCTGCTAATTACTAAATACGTGGGCATTGAAGAGACATTGTGATTGTTTAAGTGGTACTCTCGTATCTTAGGCCCACTCACAGTTGCTGACAGGCACAATGGTAATTGCTAGACAAGGCTGGTTATAATGGGACGCTTATTAGAGCATAACAAGACTCACAGAAACATTTTCTCCATGCAGATCCGTACGGCAAGTTATTTCATTTAATTGTTACGAAGAGTCCTTTCTAACAAAGCAAATCCCAATTCTTCACTGGAATATTTTGCTGCCAAGTTTCAGTTAAAATGCATCAGTGCTTTTCTGTCACATTCCAGAGATACTGCTCATATGCTAACACAGGAGAGGCGACCTTTCCAGGTACAGAAGAGCCTTAAACCACAAATTTGACACTAGTACAGCTTTATAGATGAAGTTATAACTCAAAGAAAGCTTATATTATATAATTACCCCCCTTTTTAACCCTTTTACTAAGCTACTAGGTTAGTTTAGGTATCCTTCTAAGCAGCACCACCACTGCTAATTAAAGCTGTTGGAAGAAATACAGGGTAGGGATTTTTGCGTCTCTTCCCACTAAAAAAGCCAAACAACCACAAACAACTAACAACAACAGTAAAAAAGCAAGAAAACCAACCAACCAATAACTCACCCAAAAAAAGGTTTCAGCAGTACATAACTGGATCTTCCACAGGTAAGAACATTATCAGCACTGCATTTGTGGAACATCACCTTAATTTAAACTGGACAAACATCCCAGAAGTTCAGTCACTCTCACAATCCACTTCCTCTCTGGAAGCCAAGGAAGAAACGCAGATACTGGTCTTCTTGAGGAATATTAATTCTAGCAATTCAGTCTCAAGGGCTTAACAGTTTTCTCTGGCAGTAACAGACCATGGTACAAATTCCCTTCTATTAATCCTAGGTAGTTTGTAATTTTGTTTGCTAGTCCCCAAATAAAAGTGTTTTGTTTCTTCCATTTATGGAAGATATGATTTAACAAAAACATTCTGAAACTAACACGAGATGAGCAAAGCGAGCTTGAAAGACATACTGCAACACAAACCAGCTTATTAATTTAAGGCGAAATTTAGGGAGACTTTTTGATGAAAGTATCAGATCTCATTTTCTGGGGGGGAAGAAAAAAGCAACCCAGAAAAGCACTGCATTATTTGGAATTCAGCTATATTTAAACCAACATGACTAGATGATGTCAGCAGTCTCCAGATATGCACTGCAGAAGCCTTTTCTCCCACCCAGCAATAAGAGACACAAAAAACCCAAGCCCTGTAATTTTTTTGCCCAACAGCTGTACCTGACAGGTAGACCTGTCAGATTAGATACCATATTTGTTTGTAATGTGTATAATCCCAAAGTAACACAGTCGTGGAAAAAACCCCACTGACTTTGCTTTCCTAGCAATATTTACACAGGAATGTATCTTGCTCTGTAGCACGAGCACATGATTTTGTGCCTTTGGGCAGTTACCTAGCCGTAGTACCAGCAGCCATCTAGTTATGGCACTCCACAGCTCGGCAGAGGCTGCAGGTTTCACATAAAAAATGGGGTAATTCATTTACTATTAGTTAGCACGCATATCCAAGATGCCACAATCAGAGCGCTGCAGTCACTCTAATTAGCCAGCAGAACATTAGCTCGGGTTGCTTTTACTGCATAGCCATGGATTACAGCAACGAAATAACACAAACACCTTCTGAAGAGCTGACTAAACTTATTTGGTCTTGGCAAGAGAACTGTCAAGGACATTTTATCTTAAAAAGTTAGTTAACCAAGCTTTTAAGACAGGACATGCCATGCGGCTAAAGCTGAAATTCCAAGTGCATCTTAATAGCTTGAGGAGGAAAAGCACGTGTGTGCATACAAACCAGAAAACAGCTACAAAGAGTATCCAAATCAATGGACATTTTTCAGAAACACTTGTTTGCCTGCAAGTACTTGTAAGCATTGTACCTGTCCCATTTTGTCTGAGGATGTTTAATTTCTGTCTCTCAGGCGGGAGAAAAAATGTGTTGCTCTCACACCTTTCCAATTTAGTAATCAAACTAACAAATCTGTGCAACATGCAAAAGGTAAGGGTATGTGCATGGTGAACATGAACATGGGAAATGCGTTCCACCCCCCGCCCCCCGTTTCCAAGCATGCCCTAAGGACAGAGGGGTTTGCCCGCGGCAGATGCGGTCACATCTGGGCAGTGGTGCTCTCTAGCGTTCGGAAAGCGAAGTCTGCCTCTGAACCGTGTGCTCTACAGCTCCGACTCCTGCCACGGGGACAGAACCTGCGTTTGTAACCAATTTCGGTGCATCAGGAATCTGAAGCGGAAGCTTTCCGTGAATTCGCGTCACAGCCACTGGTTTGCACCTCTTGGACCAGGTGGCAGCGGGCCCCGTACGGGCCTGGGGCCGCAGGCGGCGCATCCCGCTCCCCACCACTCACATGCTGATGTTGAAGTTCTTCTTCTCCTGGAGGATCGCCTCCGCCAGCTTCCGCTGGAGCGCCTCGTCCGAGCCCACGAGCTGCGGGCAGAGGCGAGAGCGCGGTCAGACACAGCCCCCGCCCGGCCGCATATCTGAGCATCGCCCCCGGACAGCAGAGACCGGCGCAGGGCCGGGCTCACGAAGACGAGGCCCGACATGGCGGAGGGTACGGGACAGGCGGGCGCGCACAGCCGGGCCGGGGAAAGAGAAGGGACGGTGGGGCCACCGTCGGACCTACCAGGAGGACGCCGGAGTTGAGCATCGGGAGCTTGTTGAAGGGCCGCAACACCGCCATCGCCGCAAGAGACAACACCACCCACCCGCTGGCCCGCCGGAATTCAAACAGCAACCGCGCTCCGCCTTGCGCTGACGTCAGCGGCGGGGGCGGGTCCGGGGCCTGCGGGGCGGGGCGGAGCCGGGGGGGCGGAGCCGGGGGAGGCGGAGCCGGGCGAGGCGGGGCTGGCGGCTCGGGCGCCGTTACCGGCAGACGCTAGGGGGCGCTGCAGGGCTGGCGGCGGTCGCCTCACGGGGTATCCCGGCTTGGGAGGGACCCACAGGGATCATCGTGTCCAGCTCCTGGCCCAGCGCGGGAGTCACACCACGGGCCCCAGGAGCCCCAGGGGTCACACCATGTGACACAGCGTCGTCCAAACGCTTCTTGAACTCTGTCAGGCTTGGTGCTGTGACCACTTCCCTGGGGAGCCTGTTGCTGTGCCTGACCACCTTCTGGGTGAAGAAACTTTTTAAAATATCCAACCTAAATCTCCCCTGACACTGTTTCAGGCCATTAGCCTGGGTCTTTTCGCTGGTTGCGGGAGGGACCAGTGCCTGCACTTTCCCTCACGAGGAGATTGTGATGTGTGTGCAGTGGTGCAGGGGTACAGTGTGAGGCCCCTCTAAGCACTCAAGTATCACACAGTGTGACAGATCACCAAGGACAGTCATCACCAGAAAACCCTGCAAAGCAGCACTGTTTCTATAGCATCCAGATATCTCAGGGGTCAGCTGGGCCTGAGGCACCCACGGCCAATACTGGAGGGATGCTGAGGGGAGGACATTGGCCTTGCCTTGGCTGTGCAGGGGAATCATGAACAGCCCTTAGCTTCTGAGAAGCAGAGCCCTTATTTCCAGGGCTGTGCTGCTTCCTGGCCCTTGCCATGAGCTGTTGCCCATTTGTTTACTGAAGACTAAACAATGGCAAAGGCTTCAGTAAAATTCCACTGCTTCCTTACATTGCAGTTTATAATGTGAACTAGTACATAGAATCATAGAATTGTTTGATTGAAAAGACCTCTAAGATCATCGAGTCCAACCATTACCCCAACACTGCCATGTTCAAAACAACCATATCCCCACGTGTCATATCTTTTCAAACACTTCAGAGATGGTAACTCTGATACATGCTTGGGCAGCCTGTTCCGCTTCCCGACCACCGTTTCAGTGCAGAAATGTTTCCTAATATCCAATGGAAACCACTCCTGGAGCAACTTGAGGCTGTTTCCTCTTATCCTACTGCTTGTTACCTGGGAATGGAGACCATCCTCCCACTGGCTACAGCCTACCTCCAGGGAGCTGTAGAGAGTGATAAGGTCTCCCCTGAGCCTTGTTTTTTCCAGGATAAACAAACCCAGCTCCCTCAGCTGCTCCTCATAACACTTGTGCTCTGGACACTTCATCAGCTCCTCTTTCCTTCTATGGATATGCTCCAGCACCTCAATGTCTTTCTTGTAGTGAGGGCCCAAATACTGAATACAGGATCTGAGCTGTGGCCTCACCAGTACCAGGTATGAGGGGAAAATGTTAACATAGTTAATACACATTAATACTATAAAGACTGCTTGATAGCTAGGGGAGGGAATTTCCCTAACACTGTGTGGCAGTAGCAACTGGCTTTGCACACTGAATTACTCTGTGTGAGATTTTGCAGCAGCTCTAGCAGGCTCAACCTCCATCCTGCCCCTTCCTGGGTGCCTTCCCCCTCACTCCCCAATCTGGTCAGCCAGCACAGTGCTCCCCTGCCCGTGATATAGGCAGGAAGGGGCCTGGGCAGAAGCACTGCAGTAACAGAGATAGGCTCAGTTTTTCTCTTTCCGGGGTCAGAGCAGGAGGATGACATGCAGTTATGTAAAACCTCAGAGGGTCCAGTGTATCTCAGTGGCCTGTGGTCCACTTTGCTGCATCTCCTGATCTTTTCCTCAACCCTGAGTTTCACTCCACCTTAGTGTGGAAGGGGGTCCAGAACCCATTCTGCTGCCTGCTGATGCTGGCTCTCCCTGCCCTTTCAACTAGGGTACCTCCAAATGGCAGGAGATGTGCCAGGGGAGAAAGAAGGCTGCAGGAGAATGAAGACACATCTGCCCCTCTGCAACAATCTGGAGAGGGGAGGAAAAGGGGAGAGAGACAGGGTTAACAAGAGCTGACATCACATGGCCACTGTGGCGTTTTTGATCTTGACAAAGGCAGACGGTTTCCCTCATTGCCAGCATGAGACAAATTACAGGTGAAGCAGAAGAGATTACAAGATATTTCTGGCTGTTTTTGAGTTTGGTGGGGGGAAGGGAGGATGAATTCAGGGCAGACGTGTGCTAAAGATGGGAGATAAGCAGATGCAATAAATAACAAGAGCCAGCTCCCAGGCTGGGGGGGTCTAGAGAGCAAATAGAACAATGTTCCATTTGGGCTGCTGAAGGTGGGGAAATATGTTAAAAACTCTGGCATCCACTTAAAAGGTGTTTTTCCTCTTTCTGCCCCCTGTTGCCTGCTCTCTGGCCCCACTGGAGGACCCAGGTGGCTTTAGTGTCTGGTCAGGGACATGCCTGCTGTGCCCTGCTGCTGCAGGCTTCTATCTGTTGACATTCAGTGGATCCAGATGAGCTACCACTCATCGCACAGTTAGAAAATTAATTTTCATGGTAGAGGATGTTGTAAGGAAGTGGAGACTCGGGTTGGAAATGTGCCGGCCTCTCTTGCCTAGATCTGTACGTTGGCAAGGAAAGGAGGGGAGAGGGATGAGATATGGTTGGTGTAGGAGGTCAGAGTGTATTTTACATGTCCTTGTGTGACTGTGTCAGGTTGTTTCACCTCTTGCTGCCCCATTTCCAGTTTGCAAAGTGGGAGTAATGAGTTGATCTCTGCTTCTGAGTGGTGCAGGAGAGCTGAGACGGGTGTGAGTGCACTGGCCCAGAGTGTAAGCGGAAGGGACAAGAGTAGAGCATGATATGGAAGGAGACAGCTCCTGATTTTACTCTGTGGGCCATTGTACATTGCTCTGGTAGCACAAACCATTCCACAAATGGGTAGAAGTGTATTGCAGCCAACATGAAGATCTTCCGATGCTGCCAAAAAACTACAATTGACTACAATTGACTACAATTGACTTGGCCTGGCCATCACCAGTGCTCCCTTGGAATGGGGGAGCTGCTCCTGCAGCAGGACTGCACCAGCCAGTACAAAAAATGTTAAAAGGTACACCTCATCCTCACGTATCCATGCCAAATTTGCTGTATGATTCATCCAGTGGCTGCATCTCAAGATATTTTATCTCTGATTTTTCTCTTGGTTCTCCCTGAGCAGCCAGAGGAGCAAATGAGACCGGCTTTGGAGATGGTCTAGAAAGGAGCACTGACCCCAGCATGGTCCCGATTGTCTCAGTGACGGCTCCCAGCTCCTGACAGCCCCATTCATGATGAGTTCTATGAGATGCCACCTGCTCATGCATTACTGGCTCCAGGCTGACCTCTCACCATCCCTCCTGGGAAGACTGCAAGATAGAACTCGTGTGTATTTGATTGCACTTGTTCTCTCACGAGTAGACAAAAATTATATCATTTGCAGCAAGTGCAAATTATTAGAGAAATTAATGACATTTGCACATATGTTGCTGGCAACTTCTGTTTCCTTTGGCAAAGGCTCTTCACGTCTATTTTTAGACCCAAAGTAAGTCAGCTTTTTTCATTCTGATCTTTAATTTAACTCACTCTATACATTTCCTTAATTTTTGATCAACTCAGCAAAGCTTCTCTAATGGGTTTCCTTTTTTGAAGCTGCAGTAGCACCCAGAAGGTGGGTTAGTCTGCTTTCCCATCAGACTATCCCCAACTGGTGCCCTGCCATGCATCCCATGTGCCTTCTGCATCCAACAGCGGGTCCCTCACCTCCAGCAGCTGAGCACAGAAGCATTTCTGTGACCCTTGCTGAAGTTTTGTCCTCTGCTGCAGACCTTGGGGAAGGCAAGTTTGATAAACTCTGTCTTCTCCCATGCCTCTACCTACATTGGGAGAGTAATATTGGGAGAATGGTGTTGCTTTAAAGACTGGCATCGACCTGGGTCTGGCCAGAAGATGCTGATAAAAGGCTAAAGAACAGTGAAAAAACTTGCTAAGAAAGACTGGAGTAACACTTAACCAGGCCTGGGATTAAGCTGAGCTCAGTACCTTGTTTATGCTGTGATTTACAGATATGATAGAAGCAGGAAGTATGTGCCTGAGGTTGTTTGGTCATCTCTTTTTTTTCCAGCAAGGCTTTTGTCTTTTGTTTTAAGAAGGGTTTCGTGACTTCTGCTCTGGCTAGATGGCCCTCTCACATCCAACCTGACCCCATGCTTGCCTTCATCATGCAGGTGAATTTGTGGTTGCCCAGAGATATGGAGGGAGTCAGAAGCCTAGTGATAGGCAGGTGTCCTGGGAAGAATGGCTTTGAGGGGCTCAGTGTGTGCACAGACACTCAGAGGCTTCCTCCAAGCCAGGTGACAGGGGCTGAAAGGCCCCAAGGCACCAGGCAGAATGATATGCACCAGCTTATGCCTGAAAGACCTGTTTGGCACACAGCAGCCTCATCTGAGGTGAAAGCTGAACTGCAGCTGAAGTTTTTCCATGCAGATTGAGCTGTACTGGCACATCAATGCCTGGAGCTGTCTCCCAGCTTCAGATCTTGTTGGAAACCAGAGGATGTGACAGCACCTGAGAGCCCTGTCACATGCAGCAAGCAGCTGCATCAGAGGCACGAGGTCTTCAAGGATGTCCCAGCTCCAGAAGCACAAGGCCCCATGTCCTTTTCTTGCCGCATCCAATGGTGCTTCAGACTCATCTGGGGGGATTCCTGCTTGAAGCAAGAGAGGTTGCAATGTCATGACCTTGCCCACTGCTGTGGTGGTGGCTGCAGAAAGACATGATCACCATTCCTTATCACGTCCTCCCAGTATTTGCATGGCAGAGAAGTGAGCCAGAGGGAAAAATGACCTCGTGAGTCAAAACTATTGCTGTTCTGGGGTTTTGGCTGCATGAGCAGCATGCTGGCATTAAGCCCGAGCTTAAACCTGGGAACAAGTTGAAGTCTGGCAAACACACACTGGCTCTGATGTGCCCCTGAGGTGACCTAGAACAGACAGTTGGGACAGTTGGCTAGGGACAATGGGAGGAGCTTACACGTTGTGGCATGAGGATGCCTGGCTTAGCAGGCTCTACTGAGTGCCTGCAGCTTCACCACAGTCACCTGGATAAATGAATAGCCTCCTACTTTGTGCCAACAGCCACTAATCTCCCTCTCGTTTTCTTTACACACATGGGAAGGGGTTTTCTTTTCGCCCTCTCAAATGGACTGTCTTTGCCTGTCCTTAAGGTTTGCTCTGAGAATGCAATAAACAATATCCTTCCAAAGTTATTTTTAAGAATATTTTTCTCCAAACCACAGGTTTCTCTCCCAGTATGGTCCAAACTGTGGGGCTTGTGTTTTCTGCCCCCTGCAGTGGGATTAGTGAAGCAGTTACTGTGCTGATGGTCAAGATGAGTGTCATGTCTGAACTTCACTGAGGTTAAAATTAAGGCACGATTGCAGGCTCCACTCTGGCAATTATCTGGAGTCCCCACCTTACTGAGGCAAACCTCAGAAGTAGTTAGCTAAACCTAATGGATCTGATCCTCCATGCAGATATCCTGCTGTGTACGGCAGGCTGGTAAGGCCTATACTCAATGCTTCTAAGCTGCTATGAAGTTACATCAAGAAGAAGTGAGGTTCAGGAGGACGAAAAGAGGATGAAGAGGAAATCACAGAGCATACCAGTCAGCTCCCACAGCTCCCTCACAACCTTGTCTCTGCACTGGTGGATGAAACCCTAGCACAGACGAGGTGACAGACCCTTTGGAGCTGGCAAACACACATGGGCTCTGTCACCATCCACAGGTTGGTTGGAGAGAGGATGAACTATTTGTGCCTGAAACACAACCTACTGGGAAGTAAGACCTCAAATCTCACAGTCCTAGAGTATAGCAGACACAAATTCGGGCCATTTCAGTGGATACTATTAATCCTGAAAACCTTTACAATAACCCACTGTGGCACATCTGCAGGGCTGTAAGTGTCAAAAACTAAGTGTGTAGAAGCTGGACAGCACAGGCAGGAGAGCAGGCAGTTCTTGGGGCTGGAGCCAGTTTGATTGATTTTGCTAAAACTTTTTTGTGTTAAACAATTTCTGGATAATGGTGACATTTTTCCTTTGTAAAAAAAAAAAACAAAAAAACAAAAACAAACAAACAAAAAAAAAAACCAACAAAAAAAACCCCAAACAACTCGATACTCCCCAAACTCCCCTCGATATGAAAAAAACAAACTAGTTTGCATGTTCCTATTTTTGTGCTGCTGAAAAGCTGAAAATGGTTTAATAAAACATCTCTTGTCAGCAGCAGCAATGACAGAACTAGGTATGGATTCAGGAAAAAGGTATTTCACTGAAAACAAGAATAGTACTTCAGACAGCATTGTTTTTTCTGTTTCCTGATGGAACGTTCTTTTGGTCAAAGCATTGATTGTTTTTAGTTTACATAAAAGCCCAGAAAGGAGTACTAACCCCCTTACTTCTTCCACCCCTCTCTCTCTCTGCCTCCAATCCACTGATGAAAACCACCAGCCCCCAGTCCCTGGGCTGCATACTCTGGTAAATCTGTGGAGCCTGAAATTCTGTTCATCTCCATCAGCTCGAGCTCACACACGTCTGTCCCAGGATTTCTCCTCCTCCGGGGCTGCAGCTGGGCTGCGGATGATGCAGGAGGAGGGAGAGCATCCCGCGGCCAGCTCCCCCGTGGCTCTGACCCGGGTACCATGTGCGGGTGAGCTGGGGAGGCTCGTTGCCATAGCGACCGCTGCTAAAATGCTCCCCCCTCGCCGCGCCGGGATGCAGTCGGTTGCAGACAGTCGTTCTTGCGGGGGAAGGCCGGCGTGGGGTGCCCCGGGGAGGCTGGAGCGGGGCTGACACTGCCGGGGAGGCGGTGGGGGAAGCCCCCGGGAGTCCCGGTGGGCAATGAGACCACGCTGCTGGCTGCCTGTCCTTCCCCCGCCCGCCGCGGCTGCTCCCACCATCCCTCCCTCCCTCCCTGCCTGCCGCCCGCCCATCCGCGCCTGTCGCCTCCCGCTGTCACCCAGGTCTCCCGGCGCGGGGTACCTTCTCCCTGGCACTGGCTGGCCGGGAAAGGAGCCTGACTCATCCCAGCTGGGACCCGGCAGATGCCAGAGGGAGCAGTCTCATCCCGTCGCCCGCACCGTAGAAGAAGGTAGGTGGCAGGTGGCAGGGCAGGTGGCGATGTTTGATGGGGATGCGGTGCATGGGAGCGAGGTCATGTCTGGGTCCCCATTCACCGGCAGCTCCGTGCCCCAAGCTGCAGCCTGCTCCAGGGTGGCCAAGTCTGGGGGAATCTCCTGCGGTCGAAGGGAGGCCACGGCTTGTAACGCTTCAACCCGGGTTGTGCTCCCAGCCACGCACAAGGGAGGGTTCTGTTCCCAAATTCTCCTGTGTCCGGGTATGCTGCTCCCAGCCTCCTCCAAGCAGTTTCTGCCCTGCCCCTTGCAACGTGCACCCTGGGGCTCCTGTCTCAAATGTACCCACGGCACCTCGGGGGCAGTGGAAGGTGGCATGGGTGATCCACGGGTGACACTGAAGGCAAGAGGCTGGAGTGAGGTGTAGCATGGGTTTAAAAGGGGTCAGATAGCTTATCTATATGAGACACACTTTTGGATGGAAGACCAAGGACTCTTTCGTGTCTTTGGGGGGACATGGATGTCCCACTGCAAAATGAGGTGCTGAAGATCAACTGGTCCAGCAAGGTTAAGGCACATTTAATATCTGCAGAACTGCTCCAGAAAGCTGACATCTTTAAATGAAACTCCTTCTTTTCAGTTTTTGCAGCCAGTATTTGCTCACCCGCGGGACAAAAGCAAGTTGCTTCTTCAGGCCAGCCCTGCAGAGGCAGGAGGGGGGCCCTGACACCTCACCCAGCACTCGGCTTGGCCATGATGAGGACCCTTCGTGGAGGGGGCGGGGACGGGTGAGCAGCGTGGGAACACAGCACAAGGATAGGGCTGCATAGCAAGTAGACTGAAGAATAGGTTGCTGGCGAGGAGCTAGGAAATGCTGGCTCTACTAGTGATGGAGGAAGGATGAATTGGAAAGTGCGTAGGGCTGCTTTTTATTGCAGCGCTTTTTTGGATGGCAGCTTTACTCACACATTTGGAAAGTGGATGATCAGGGAAGGGAATGAGGTTATTGGCTTTCCTCTCGTCAGCTCAGGATATCCAAGCTGAGCTCACCTTCACAGTGTCCCTAACCCTGCCCATTGCTGTTGCCAGACAGGAGCAGATACCAGCTGCTGAGATACCTCTGAAAAAGGGGTTTGCAGCAGCTTGACCTCCCCAGGATGTCTGCAGCTGCAACTAGGGGGTGCAGGGGGTGCAAAGGAGCTACTTTTGCAGAGCATGTAGGAAAGCTGTGCTGTTGGGTTTCTGGCCCAGAGTTCAGACCCAACTCCTGTTGCAGAAGGAGTTTGTGCCTAGTTCCTTACATGGTCCCTTAAGATGTGTTAAGACAAGTCCCACAGTTCCTCATAACACCTCTGTGATGTTATTGCAAGTTATGGTGGGAGCTTTCTTCAGCAGTTGCTCACCTGAGGAAGGCACATGCAGCCATGAAGAGGCAGCAGCAGTGCCCAGATCAGATGCCAATAAGTGCCAATAAGTGGGAGGAAATCAGGCATTTTCTGCTGTTTCTTGCTTATGGTAATAAGAATTGCAGCTTGTTTCAGATCTTACCCTGTGACAAAAAACTTACTGTTACAGGCCCTCCTGGGATAAGAGGTGTCCAGAAGATAAATGCTGTTGGAAACATTGGAAACAACTGATGGCTGTGGGATTAAAAAACAAAAGAAAAAAGCCCAGCCCCTGGTGTGGAAAAGGCATCAACCTTATGGGCCAGGAGCAGGGAAGAGGATGGAAATGCTCAGAGTTCTCTCCAGCCTCCTCTTAACACGCCCTGTGAAAGGGATTTGGGGATATATGGTTATTGCAGAGGGAGTACTTGGGCGACGGTCAGATGTGACAGCTTTCATCTGTCTGGAAAAGCAGGAGTTTGATGTGGGTACAGGTCTCCCTTAACTCTGTTCCCACTGAAGTCAATGGGCATTTCATCACTCCCACTAAGGGGTGAGGATCTGGAAAGCCCCCTTTCAGGACTGCATTTTTATGCCTGAGCCTGACATCACTGTGGTTTCCCAAGCGTGAGGGTCCCAGGTTTAATCCACAAAAGCCTTTAATAAACAGTATGTTCACAGTGCAAAACCCAGAAAATCTGATGCCCGGTGAAGTCGTAGCTGTGCTTTTTGTGGGAGATGCTTTTTGATCCCCTTTTCTGTCTCTGCATGATCCACACTTTGGCTGGCATTTTGGTAGAGAACAAGCAGACCTGAACAGGTTAGGCATCTTTGTGGGTTGCAATGTGTGTTGCTCTCTCCCTCCCAAAGGATGAGGATAAAGGATGGGCTCAAATGTGATGCCATTACAAATTTAAATGGCCCTAAGTTATGGTGCATGCCCTAAGCATGGCATCAGCAGGGCCATAATGGTGGGGAGAGATTGTGCCAGGGCACGAGCAGGTTATAGGGCTGGGATCCCATTTGTCCAGACCTCCAGAAATCTTCATCCCTGACATCTGGTCAAGGAGATGTTTGCTCCTTCCTGCTCTCCATTTTTAGCACTAGGCCAGCAGCAATCACACAGTGTGGTGTTGTTTTGTATTCCCCAGGGCAACGCTGCTCCAGACTCACCTTGCACCCAGCTGGCCAGGAGCTCTTGGCAAGGCAGATCGGCTGCTCCCGGTGAGTGTCCCCCACTGCACAGTGGCTGATGTGGTGGAGGGATCTCAGGTCTGCTCACAGACTGGTGCTGAATTAAGGACTGGTGCTGAGCCCTGGCAAAGCCGGGGTGCGGGAAGGGAGGGCTCAGTCCTGAGCCAGACCAGCTCAGACTGGGAATTCAAAGGGGTGATGGAATGTCAGGGGAAGCAGATTTTCCCTCAAGCAGGAGGTGAGAAGCAGCTGTATTTACGCACTGCCTACTTTTAATCACTGGCAACAGGGCTGGGGGCAAGCAAGCTCAACACCCTCTGTGGGGAGGGAGCCAGACTGACACTCTGTGCAGGGGTCCCAGCAATGACCCCAGATGTATTGACCTCTCCCAGCAGATGAGGTGCCTTCATGTGCAACCAAGCATGAACCAGGTGCAGCAGGGCTGTGAGGAGGGACTGGGCACCGCTGATGAGGCAGATGTCTTGTGATCAGTCTTGGTGGGGGTGCGTTTTGGGTGTTCCCACTGCATGAGCTTTCTCTCTTTTTCTCTGGCAGCCATGCCCCACTTCTTGGATTGGTTTGTGCCCATGTATCTGATGATCTCCATTCTCATCCTGGTGGGCTTTGGAGCTTGCATTTACTACTTTGAACCAGGACTCCAGGAAGCCCATAAGTGGCGAACACAGAGGCCAATCATGGAGCGAGACCTTCGGAAGACACTGATGATTCGGGACAACCTGGCCTTTGGGGTGCCTGAGGTCTGACAAGCTGCCCATTGCAGCCAGAGGAATCTCTCCTGGGTAGGCACCAGACCACAAGCCTCACTAGGGATGGCAGTCCTGCCTTGGTACAAGTGCAGCAGCTCATCACTTTGCTCTGTGCTGATCTGGGTCTCACACTCATCACTCACCATTCTGCCCCTTTGCTTCTTAGTCAAGATTTGTGTGGCTGAGGCTTCCCATGTGCTCACAGATCTTCAGCCAGTCAAGGACTTCTGCTCCTTCCCATGGCCAAGACAGATGAACCACTCAAATGAAATATCCCTTGTTAATCACTTGAGCTAGAGCTGCCTGGCATCTTGACCAATCTTCAGTAGGAAAGGTACCGGCTTTTGCAAAGGGATGCAGAACCTTGTACTCCTATTCCCTATGTTAAATCTAACACAGTGTAAGTCCAAGGGGTATTTTTGGGAAAATAAGTGGGGTTTCAATACAAATTGTTTCTTCAGCTGAGCTCTTCCCAGCACCCACTCTTGGTGCTAGGATGGTAAGCTTGCCGAAGCTCTATGCAGAGGGACCAAGGGCTCAGTGAGCCTCAGAGACTGAATGCCTTTATCCTTGCTAAATGCACACCCCTGCCGTGTCTGTTTGGGAGACAGTGAACATCCATCCATAAATCCATTTCAGATGCACCACATTCAAATTAAAGGTCTTTATTAAAGAGATTTGTTCAAGTCCTGTGTCAAGCTGAGAACGTTCTGCAGCTGTCCATGAAGGAGTGCTGCCAGACTTTCCTGATCTGCCTGGCCTTCTGCTCCTCTGTCTTGGAGGGAGATGGGGCAGACTGTGAAGCAACTTATATTTGTTCAGTTCCCTGCACTGCAGAGCCCTACAGCTTGGATAGGCTCTTCCTTAACTGTTTCCCAGTGAAAGCTGTGAAGCGTCCCTCAGCCCTTTTTTTCCCTGCATGTCTCTGAGAAGGAACATTGAGCCTGCCATCTAAATGGGCCCACTGTATCACTTTTGCTTTCTGGACCCAAGCTGGATAATATGGGTCTGGCACAAAATCCCATGTATATAGACTTCCTGCACTGTCATGGGCATGACCAGATGCCAAAATGCTGTATGAAGTTGTGACACTGGGCTGAGAGGGATACCCCCATCCTCTCTCTCCCTGCCAGCCCAGTGCAATGCCCAGTGTGTATAAGGAGGTTTGAGCGAGCAAGGAGCCTGTGGCAGGAGGCTGTGTCTCCTCTCCTCCCACCCAAACATTCACCATTTGCATGCATGTAGGTGGAATGGTGCTACCTGTGAGTGATCTAGACACAGAGGGATCCTGTGTGCCTTACTCCTGCATATTCCAGGTGTGTTAACTGGTGCCACCACTCTACATGCACATGTCTGTGCATCCTGTGCCATCACCTGGCTCAGCCAGTATATTGGCAACCCACATCTCCAGCGCCCTTCCATTGTTATGGCTCTGTGCTCTAGTCCCCAATGGCTCCTTTCAGCAGCAGGGGTTCCTCAGGCCAGCTGTGAAAATCTGCCACTGCTCCTGGCTTGTGCAACTCAGCCTCACCTCTGAACCTGGGAGCAGGAAGTTCTCTCTTCCATTCCCAAAGAAAGGAGAGTTTTTTTGGCTGCTGTGAGTGATTTATGCAGGGAAACAGAGTGAGTGGGATTACTCCTGTGCCCAAAGTTTTGCTTGCCCTGGCAAGCAAAGACTCAAAGCACGGGTGCAGCCTGAAAGTTGGTAATTCTCTGGGGATGAAAGTTAATTTTTAGCTCTAAAGAATGGATCAGGACATCCTGCAAATATCCTATGTCTTTGTTGGACATTGCATCTACCAAACTGCAATTGCATTACCATTCTTTTCCACACCAAAACCAGGCACACACTGGCAGCAGCTTTTTGGCTCTGCTTCAGACAGAGGACAAGTCAAGAGTTCTTTCATTCAGCCAAGTAACAGATACCATGATGCAAGTACCCTGACTGGGGAGTCTCACTCAGCAGGGGAATGCAGTGACTGGGATTACTGCTGTGCCCAAAGTCATACTTGCCCTGTCAAGCAAAGACTCAAAGAGCAGGTGTAGTCTGAAACAGATACATTTTCGTGTCTTTGGGCTGTGAAAAGGAAATGATAAGGGGCTGGGTTGCATGGTCTGATGTGCCACCCTCAGCTGAATGGCTCACATTCCCTGTCCTCTGGCACATCACAGCCATATCTCCAAACACCAACTTGGAAACCCGCTTCCTCACCTTGACTCCCTGATAGATGGGATTGCCCTGTAAAGGAACACAGCTGAGCTGTGGGGCAGCATAAAAACCTCCACACTGGAGCTGAGGGGCTTGGAGCAGTCAGGAAGAAGCTAAACCATCCCTGTGGGAAAGGAAGCCTGCTCTCACAGGGGTCCCCTCTCCCTTCCTCTGCATGCTGTTGTGCCTGTTTTGACCTCCACTCTGCCCATGACTCAACGCAGAAACTGAACAAAAGAAGACAGCAACCAGGTGAAGTCTGGATTAGAAAGAAACTAATTGTTCATTTCCTCTGGCTTATGTTTTGTCCTGTTTAGTCCTGCTGTTTAATCAGCATCAAGCCAGGTATTTTCCATGGCTATGAAGGACTTTATTGTCAGTCGTGTCAAATGCTTCCCCAGTGGAAGCGTGTGACAAACTGCATGGTTGACGCTTTATTTTCCTGTTGTTCCCCCTGGGAGCTGCCTCCCTCTAGCTCTGGGCAGGCAGCAAAGAGCAGTCTGCAGTGAGGTTTCCTTTCCAACAGGGTAGGTCTCCATTGGTCTGGCTCCTGTGCCAGCTACACTGCCGGGCTATCTGGGAATAATTAAGCCAAGGCTGCCTGAAAACTGAGATTGTTTCTCCTCTGTGGGATCTGTGCAGCCAGAAAGACCTCAGGGGAGAAGTAAATAGTCACAGATACTGAATTAAACTACATAAAGAATCAGAGAAGATACTTATTGCTGGAAATACTACACAATATCATTTGGGTTTTTTTCATGTTTTCTGTCTCTTTGCCCTTAAGGAAGCAGAGAACTTGCACTGTCCTGCTCTCTGCCTTCCACCAGCATTGGATGTGGGTCATTGGATGGTGATTCCTCTTCCACTTCCCTCAGCCCCAGTCACCTGAAATCATACAATCATTGTCCCTGCCACACTGTAGGTGCTATTGGTGCCTGTATCTCTTCTTTGCTCCCACTTGCCCAACAAACCATTCATATTCTCATCCTATCTCACCAAAATACCTTTCTCCTTTCCTCCTTGTTTGCTGTGCTGCCCTTCAAAGTCTCTTACAGTGAGGAAGATGTGGAGTGGCAAGCTGAATCCCTCTTGACCCTGAAAATGCTACAAAGCTGGCAAAATTAAGAAACAATCACAGTAATGATGATAATGAAGTAGCAAAAGAAAATCAGAATAAGGGAATGAAGCACCAACTTGGACAAACACCCAACAAGTGACCATTGAACTTGCGCAGTGGGATATAAATTGTTGCACTAGAGTATGCCATTTGAGAGGGAAAAAAGTAAGAGAGGAAGGGAAAACATTTCAAAAATTCAATTTTTTTTTTTTTTTTTTTAAATCACACCCAGTCCTTGGAAGCAGGCAGCACATGCGTGACCTGGCAGGTCTGCATCACTCCTCCAGCTCTTGCCATGGGACCAGGGCAGGGGGTCATGTTGTGGAGCTGCCCATGCTGTGGGGCTGCTGGTGCCAGAGGTCAGGAAGGTGCTGGGCAGGAGCAGGAGTGGCCATGGCACCCAGCGTGGGAGCGAGCCATGCAGGCCACAAGGGCCCCATTGTCCCAGCTGGAGGCGGGCTAGCTGGACAGGGTTGGAGGTGGGGGCTCAAGCATGTGAATGGGAGCAGCCCCAGGGAGCTCTGCACCCCGAGACACCACAGCCCTGACAGCAGGGACCCTGGCCCTCCAGCCCCTGCCCTCGCACTTCTGCTTCCAGCCCACTGCCGATCCCCATGGAGGAGGACATCGCCCTTCATCGCAGCTGCCTGTCCGCCCCAGGGAGCCCCAGCCGCACCCCGGGCCCCCCACGGCGGCGGGACAGCCCCCTCGGTGTCGCTGCCCCCACGAAGCGGAGCTGCCTCTCGGTCACGCTGCGCCGGGCGGGCGGGGGGCTCCCCTGGGAGCGGCTGCGGGGCCCGGCCCCCGTCACCCCAATCCCTCCTCGGCCCCGGCCCGTGGTGGCCGAGGGGCCCCAGCAACGCTGCAGCTCTGACGGGGCCCAGGCCATCCTGGTGGCGAAGATGGGGGTGTCCTGTGCCCCACCACGCTCCGGTGGGTTTCCGCGAACGGGATGGGCTGGGTAGAGGGAGGGATGCACCAAGGGGGTCCCTCGGCAATGACATGGAGTCCAGCATGGGGCAGGACCCTTCAGGAGAAGCAGGGTGATGAGAGGGAGGATGGGGACTTCCTCCCCTTGGAGTGATTGCCTCTTGACCCATACCAGGGTGGGCACCAGCTGTTGGGAGGACAGCCTGCATGAGCCTGGCACCCAGTACGGAGATGGGCAACGGTGGTCACCATGTCAGGAGATTTTCTGGGTGCTAGAATGCCTGTCTGTCTATCTGTCGGAAACCAGCCTGTCCACTGCTCAGCCTAGCCCGGGGTAACTGCTCACAATTATTTCTAAATGTTCCTGTAATCTGCAGCGGGTGCCAGAGCACTGCAAAAAGAGGATCCTCAAACAATTGCCAAGTCTGCCGGGCACCCCACAACCTGACCCCCACCCAGGGAGTTTGCCTTGTGGTGGAAGAACACATGGTGCTCCTGTCATCCCACTAACTGGAGGCTCAGAGCATTCCCAAATGTTGGTGTCCCAGTACAGCATGACAGGGACACAGTGCCTGTTGGGGCCAGGACTCACAAATGTAGGAGGAGGAAATGCAAAGCAGGGAAAGGGCATCCCCATCCAAAGATGCAAGCGGCCAGAGGCATCCACAAGGCAAAGGCACAGACACATCCACAGGGCACACGGAGGTGCTTTCCAGAGCACATGAGGACGTGACCTGTGTACCCCAACATGGTCCAAGTGGGAGGACCTGTCCCTGCTCGCCACACGCAGGCACACACACGCACATGCACACGCGTTTATACACACCATGCACGCAGAGGGGACAGTGCTGTCTCTGCCTCTGCGCCTTGGGCTGACAGCCAGGAATCATGATGCTGGAGAAGAAAAGGTTTCTCACACCTCCACAGGCAAAGCTGAAGGGCAAATCGCTTTTGATGAACCAAAACATTCCAAATTTCCTCCTTTTGGGAAAGCAGAAGGAGATTTTGCAATCTCCTGATCTCACAAAATATCTAGGGGCAAAGAGCACCCTTTCTCAGCCCCGCCGGAACTAAGCTGTGAAGGGTTAAATATGTCCCTCCTTAAACAAGCACAGATGCTGAAAAGGCTGAGGAATTGGGAGGGAAAAGGGCAAGAAAAGGCCTGTGGGGTGTGGGTGTGCAGTGGGGGCCCCTCGGCATCGGCCCCTCCAGCCCCGAGGCCATGCCCTCCCCGCAAGTCATGGAGGCTGGCGGGGACCTGGGATGGAGCCGGGGACCTGGGATGGAGCCGGGGGAGGGTGCGCGGGGGGAGATTTTGCGGAGATGTTTAATATTCAGGTCACATGACGATGGCAGCAGGAGCAGCACCAGCATCCCCGCTCTACTGAAATAGCCACTGGAGAAGGAAGGGAAGGAGAGAGGGGGGAGAAGAGGACACAGGGAAGAAAGACAAAGGTAAAAGCAAGTGGAGCCTTGTAGCCCACCGTGCTGCTTCATCAGCGTCAGGCTAGGAAAGTGGGGGGAGACCCACCCCCTTGGGAGAGGATTCGGAGACAAAGGAAGCTTCATGTTCAAAGGTAGGATGCTCCGGGCTTGGCAGGGCTGGGCAACGCCAGAGGGACACCGCTGGGGCTTTTTGCGCAGGCATCCTCCGCCGTGCCCCCGCGCTGCCCAGCTCTGGGCATGGGGGAGGGATAACCCCGGAGGGCAGTGGGGGAAATCGGTCCTGGGTTTGTCTTTCCTCTGTTTTCTTCCTTTTGGTGGCAGCAGTCTTGTATGAAGAAGGAGCAGGGCTGGTTGTGGTGCTGATGGGGAGTAGCTAGTGCCAGGCACTGCTTTGAAAGGAAGAGATAATCCAGCTGGGGAGTGCCCACAAACTCCTCGGCACCTGGCTTGTCCTTTGCCAGTGACAGGCAGTGGGGATGTCCTGTGCGTCTCCCTGGGCATCTGCACGGGAGCCAGCAGGCATGCGGGCAGGGACACAGGCAGCTGTGGTGGTGTGGGTACCCTGATGCTGATGCTCAGCATCCGTTCGCCTTGTGATACAGCTGTGCCACCCAAGGGGTGGGCTGGGACATGGGACAAGGATTGTACAGCTAGAGAGCAGCACCAAGGGCATGGCCGGGGCTGTAGTGGCTGGGCTGGGGATGCGCCCAGCTCCTTCACCTCCTGCTTCTGCATCTCCGGAGAGGCTTCGGCACACGCTGCCCTAGATTTCACTGCAGCCAAACTCTTGCCCAAGCCCTTTGCAGAGTGCTGAGGGGAAGAAAGGTTGCTGTTGGGAAGGCTGCAGCAGCCCAGAGGATTGGGATGATCTTAAAGCTAGGCAAAAAGAGCTGGGAAGAAGAATGGTTCAGTTCTGTACTCTGAGGTCAGGCAGTATGTCCGGCAGGGCTCAGCCATTGCCCTGTACGCTGAAAGAAATGCCCTGGGGTCATCATGGGAACGGAGGAACGAAAGGTATTTTTTCAATGGAGAGATGCTCGGTCTAGCACCTCTGCAGATCCGAAGCAAGGAGCAGGTCCTCATGCCCGCGAGCTCCAGGAAGGCTGTACTACTGAAGCAGTTGCTTGCTTTCTTTCCTAGGAACCTGGCATCACCCTTTGAGGGTCTGCTTCTGCCAGCCACCTTCAGGTTTTGAACCCATCCCTCCTCCCTCTTCCACGTCTGCAGGGAGTGGGACTGTGGGTCCAGGACTGCATGGGTGGAAGGGGCTGGAGTGAGATGCATGTGAGGTCACTGCCTCCAGCTACAGAGGGACAATCTTGTGCTACACTGGAGGAGCACAGCAGTGAGGCCATCCATGTGTTATGTGGGGGTTAAATAGCTTTCCTTGCTGGAAGCTGGCTTGTGGTGAGCACTGTTTGCAGCTCTCCCTCCCTCTTGCCAGACAAAGGATGAGAAAGCAGGGGGAGGGGATTTGACTGTATCTGGGTTATCGGGACATAGTAGATGTTAGTCCCCACTACCTGAGCCCCTAAGGGACCTGCAGGGCTGCCTCTGTCTCCACATAACTCCTGTGAACGTCAGAGCATGAAGGGTGAGCTGCAGTAGTGGTGTCTGCTGCTGGCCACATATGCTGGCCTTCCAGGAAGAGGTTCTGGGGTGGGTCAATGGATGTCAGAAGCAGGAAATAGCTGGGATCATGGGGACCTCACTGGGTACTCATTCTGGTTCTGCCTGTTCCTGCCTCAAAAGCTGCATCTTTCCTTGGTCCAGTCACATGGAGCATCTCCTATGAGCCAGATATTATTCCCTGACAGCCCAGGCCAGCCGAAGGCCACCTCCTACTGGATTTGGTGGGGGTGTGGAGGGAGTGTATCACCAGCTATGGCCCTTTTAAATGAGCTTTTCTTAGCACACGGAACAGAGGGAAAAGGAGGGCCTTGCAAACAGCAGATGTAAGTGGTTAACCTTGGCTATCCCTCTATTCATTATCAGCTGTACTGGCAGAAGTGCCCTCTCACCCATTCATTACCAGGGACAGCTTCGAGGGCTATGGGATGTGCCCAGGACACACAATGCCACCCCTTGACCAGCCACTCAGTGTGCTCCAGAGGCTTCCTAGCAGCATTAGCTTTAATGCACATAAAACAGAACCACTCCCAGGGGAGCAGGCAGGCATGTTTCATGTCTCAGGCTGCCTTGTACAGCTCTGGTCTTGGTTTTGCACACCCTGACCTCCCCAGCAGTCTGTTCCTCAGCTGGCTCCTTGAATTGATCTGTGGGAGGCAAAAGGTGAAAAGTCATGTGCAGAAAGATGAGCCCTGGGAAAATTTCTGCAAAATGGGGCTTCCCTGCCTGAGGCTGTATGGGAAGGAACCCCACACAGAGGAAGGTAAGTGGCTTACCCTGACGCCTTGAATGTTCTGACATAAAATCCAGGCAATATATTTAAGGAGACTTCTGGACATCTTTTCTCCTGGTCTCAGGGTTTTCTATAGCTGCCCAAGAACCTGAGTCTGAAATATCTGCCCTAGTCACTGCAAGCTCCTGGCTCCAACAGTGACGCTTGCAAAGAAATGGTCTTGTATTATGATGCCCACAGCAGTTAGCAACATCTGCTGGCTCTGGGCAAGGCTTTCCTTGGTGAGACTGAGGGATGAGTTACAAACCTCTTAGTGAGACTTGAGCCTGACAACAAATGCCCTCCTTCCTCCTCCCTTTGTAAGAACAAGGGTTGAAGGAATAAAGGAGAGGGCGACAGATTCCCTGAGGACAAGCTACCACCCTGGCAGTGAAAGTGTCACAGCCCACGTGGCCCATGTCCTGCACCCATCCCATGCAGGTGCTCAGCTGGGCTCTCTTCCCATCTTGACCTGCTCCCTTCCACCTGTGGGGTTTATTTGCCCCCAATTACTCCAGTAACCAAGTGCCTCACTGGGGCCACAACCCCCATCCCTATTTCCCTCATTGTTCCATTTCTCTCTCTCTTCTCCCACTCTTGTGGCCAGCTAGGACCCCAGCAGGGCTGTGTGGGGTGTATATGGAGAACACTGCAGCAGCATGAGGGACACAGCACAGCCACATAACCATGATACAGGTGACATGGGCAGCCTGGGAGAGGACAAGTGAAGGGTAGGGTGCAGGAGAACTGGCTGGCCTGGCCCCCTGTGCTGTACTAGAGAGATGGGCTTTCCTGGCTGACATCAGCTTTGATAAAGCTGAAAAAAGACGACAGGAGCCTCAGGGGATACTTCGTCAGCAGGAAAGGCACATACTAGTTATGATGGGTGTAAGAGAGGATTGCAGCTGAGAAGCACTTGGCTTGGCAGGCTGCCTTCTCCAGCAGCTGCCCAGCAGCATGAGGTGCTCCAAATTGCCAGTCTGACTCAAGCCAATGGTTCATCTCGTGCTCTGGTTCCCCCAGGGTGCTGCTCGCTGCTTCAGGAGAGGGTGATGATAGTCCAGGGTGCCCTCACTCAGTGGGGAGAAGCAGGGGGGGGATCGTCCTCCCTCCTGTGGACAAGTGGAACAGAGGTGGCACAAGAGCCTTCAGATGTTACCCACAGTGCTGTACATGAGTGGCTGTGCTACCATCATCTCACAAAGAGAAGAGCTCCTTCTCCCAGTTTAATATAAAAGACTTCCCAAGCAATGAAAAGGAGCTGGGTGGAGGCACCCTTCTCTCTGACAAAGGTGGTCCTTCCACAAGGTCTTTCCGTAGCACATGAGAGTGGGGTATTACAGCTTATAAAAAATGTAAAATGTTCACTGTGAAGAGCAGCCCTTGTGTCTGCACCGGAGCTTTGATGTGGTAGTGCCAGGCAGGGTCCCCATTCAGCCATGGAGCCTCCTGCAGCCTAACCCTGACCTTGAACAAAATCTCTCTGACCTCTTCTCAGTCTATCTCTGCCTGGCTTGACTAAGCTGTCACAGGGACTGCGGATTGGTGCCATCAGTGTCCTCAGCCCAGTGATTTCTGAGTCATTTTCCCTTCGAAGAGGGGCATGTGTCACCACCAAATGGCAGTCGCTTGCCTGACTGCTCATGTCCTTTCCTCCTGCCAGTGGATTCTGATAAGTGGAGAGAAAATTCTGCCAAAATGATGGAAAGGGATAATTTAGTGTGAGATACTTGAACTGAAGTGGCATCCAGAACAAATGAAGTACTTACCAAGCAAAAACATTCTGTCTCTGTCCTGGGGAAGAAACCCTCTAATGAGACAAAGCATGGGGGAGTCAAGTAATTAAAGTGGGAGAAACTCTAGTTTGCAGCTGGCTTGTATATGAAAGGTATTTGATTCCTATCCCCTTCATCTTCCTTTCCAGATTCATCCCTCACACCTCCCTTCCCCACCAATTAGAGCTTTTCTTCCATACCCCGTCCTCTCCCAACCTCCGAATCCTCCCAGCGGGTGGGAGCTACTCACTAATGAGATGGAGATAAATGGGTGAGGCCTGCCCCTAGCTATGTGTGCCATCACCCAAAAAAGGGTCAGGGAGGCTGGAAAGCCCTTGGGGTTTTTTTTTTTTTCCCGATTGTTTTACATGGAAGAGTGAGGAAGCCGAAATGAGGAGGGAAAGATGCAGATAATTAATTTTCCGGTCATGATAATTAGTTTTTTGAGTATGACAAAAACCATTGCTCTACGGGTGGGAGGCAAGCACAGAGATTATAGCTATGCTTTCACTTCCACCATTGTCTTCCTCTGAGGACCACAGCCAGTAATGCAGCCACCCCTGGCAAGGGCCAAGCTTGCAAGTCCTCATGGCACATCCCAAACTCTGTTTCAATGCCAGGAGACACACAATTTTTTAAAGTCTGTTCCATCTCAAATTTTATGGTGAATTTGGAGGGGCAAAACACTGGTATCCTGCTGAGAACCTGGAGACAAAAATAAGGAGACACACCTGGAGCTTTGGGCCCAGCCAGCCTCCCTGCCCTTGTTCCTGCTGTTCAGAGGTAGCCATTAATACACTGCATTCTCAATAAACCTCACTTCACCTCCTCATCTGGTGAGTACATAGAAGAGTGTGCTGGAGACTCAAGTAGGTGTTCCTCCATAATGAACCTTACCACTAAAATCTTGACATTCAGTTATCCTCAATAGCCCTTGAAAAGGCTGCTTAAAACTGCCCTCAGCCCCTGTGCCAGGTCAGCAAGGAGGCTGTTGTTACACCTCAACAATGATTTTTCAATCTTTGTTCCCATGCAGGACTGGTGGAGAGCAAAAACGAAGCAGCCATGTCTGAGCTGGTCCCAGAGCCCCGACAAAAACCAGTTGTACCAATGAAACCCATGGGCATCAACGCCAGCTTGCTGGGCTACATTGGTATTGACACCATAATTGAGCAGATGCGCAAGAAAACCATGAAGACGGGTTTTGACTTCAACATCATGGTTGTAGGTAGGCAGAGACCAGCTGAGGAACTGGGAACCATGGCCAGGGACTGTCCCTTGAGGCCAGGTGGGAGAGTGAGCCCTGTGGGGAGGGCATGAGGGAGTAGACAGAAGTTGCTCTGAGGGAAAATAGAGCCTGCACAAGGCAAGGAGACACCTCCAGCCCCTTCCCAGACTGGCTGGGAAGGCTGCCAGCCTGGCTCTGTTTCCTGGGCCTGATGTCATCAATAGGCTGTGGCAAATGTCACAAGCTTCCTCTCTGCAATCCTCAGGTCAGAGCGGACTGGGAAAGTCAACCTTGGTAAATACCCTCTTCAAATCCCAGGTGAGCCGCAAATCTTCAGGCTGGAACCGAGAGGAGAAGATCCCCAAGACAGTGGAGATCAAAGCCATTGGGCATGGTAAGAGCCAGGCAATGGGGTGAGAGCAATACTGATGCCTCAGCATAGTCTTGCAGAAGATCCCAGCAGTCTAGGCAAATAGTTCTTTGGTATTAGGCAGCCCTTTCTCCATAGGAAGCTAAAGGACAGTTTTAGATGGCCTCAGAGACAGAGCAGGCTTTTCTTAAACTGGAATGCCACAGCCAAAAGTGAGGGGTAGAAAAATAGTTAGAGATTTCATTGCCTAAGACATTAGTCTGCAGTTGTGGATTAAGCCTTGCTGTAAGTCATTTTCACCTGCAGTTACATTTAATAAGCTATACAAGTTGCCTTGCTGGGTCCCATCCCAAGCCTGGTAGTGCACACCTTCTCACAAAGCTTCAGCACAACTCCTACAGTGGTGCAGGGTAATGAGCATCATCTCAGATTCAGGATGATAGGTTAGAAGGGAGAAGTTGTGTTGAGGTAGGTACTACCTTTGGGACACAGACTGAGCACAAATCCATTTTCCTGTGGCGGAATGGTGTAAGGTGGCTTTTGTGTAGATATTACCAAAATTTGGGGTCATGCAAATGAGGGTCATAACTGTTGAGGCATTACACAGCCTGGTCTGGTCATGCTTGCTGGGCAGGGATGAGGGCAGAGCTCTCCTGCTCCCTTGTGGGACACAGAGACATGTTTCATGATAGAGCAGATCCCCAGGGAGGAGTATGATTGTTTGCAATTTCTCCTCCAGTCATTGAAGAAGGTGGTGTCAAAATGAAGCTGACAGTGATTGACACACCAGGATTTGGGGACCAGATCAACAATGAGAACTGGTGAGTTTTACAAGCTCAAGGCCTTGTGTCCCAGAAAGGGTTGAAGTTAAGATGGTATATGAGTGACTGTCATCTCCTTGGCCCTTAAAAGCATCTGGGATCCTATTGCACCTGGGGGCCTGATAATGGAGCTGTGGGACTGTGAAACCATGGGTCTGTGTGTCTGATTGGGGGTATGCATATATTACATGGTGAGTGCTTATTTCTGTGCCCAGTTACAGAAACTCTTAATCATCTGTGCTGATGGCGAGATGCTTGAGGTGGATTTTTTTTTATGCCTGAAACTGCTTTGTCAGAGCTGGGAGCACTGTAGGCAGGAACACGGGGAGACGTGTACCTGTCTATTCATATCTCTCTCCCACTTTAACAGCTGGGAGCCTATTGAGAAATACATCAATGAGCAATATGAAAAGTTTTTGAAAGAGGAAGTGAATATTGCAAGGAAGAAACGAATTCCAGACACACGTGTACACTGCTGCCTCTACTTCATCTCCCCTACAGGCCACTCGTATGTACACAGTTTTTTTTCCTTCCTCCAGCCCTTGGTACCTCTGTGCCAGATACATACCCTACACTGCTGCACCTCAGACATGGATCCAGGGATCCTGCCAGCAGGGCTGGCCACTGTTTAGCTTAACTTTGGATGCTGTGGGGCTTGAAGGGGTCTAAGATTACAAGAGTGGGAGAAATGCCGCTGTGTTTTTTGGGAGAGGGCAGAATGGATGGGAAGAAGGAGATGAGAACATGGTGGCAGCAAGCAGGATATGTGCAAGGGAGGGTTCACTAGTGCCCTTATGCTTGGACAGTCATTAGGAGGAAGAGCAACGAGGGTAAAAAGTGACCCCTTCCATCTTGTTCCTTCTTGGGCTGCAGCTTGCGGCCTTTGGACCTGGAGTTCATGAAACATCTCAGCAAGGTAGTGAACATCATCCCAGTTATTGCTAAGGCTGACACCATGACCTTGGAGGAGAAGACCGAATTCAAACAAAGAGTGAGTATCTCCTCTTCTGGATGGGACCTTTCCTTGCCCTGGCTTGGAGGCAGGAGAAATGAGTGGTATCCTTCTTCCTGGGATTGCAGTGCAGTCCCCAGGGTGTGCACAGAATGTAATGCAGTGTTGGTAGGTAAGTCCTAAAGATGCAGCTGTTTATATCTCTGAGGGCATCTGTTAGAGAAGGAAGAAATGTGTGTATCTCTGTGACATCCTGTGATATGTTCTGTCATGGGAACTGAAGAGCCAGACAAGTAACTGAGGTTGGGAAGAAGGACTCATCATTGCTGCCCTGTGTCCTCACTTTAGCGTGCACCTCCTCGGGACAGCCCCTCCAGCTTCTGTCCACTGGAAGGATGTCCCAGATATGTTTGCCTGGCCTTGCCAACTGCCTTCCCTTCAGGTTTGTGCTGCTTTGTGCTTCAGAATGTCTCTCTGCTTAGGTGCGCAAGGAACTAGAAGTAAATGGGATCGAGTTTTATCCCCAGAAAGAATTTGATGAGGACTTGGAGGATAAAACAGAGAACGACAAAATCAGGGTAGGAAACATTTTATTGTGGGAGGGGGCGGGGGGATGAGGAGGGCACCACATTTTGTTCTGCACTTCAGCATCATTGCCCTCATACATCAGAAATAAACTGCTTTTTAATCTCCATTCCTGTGGTAATTGCAGTCTCCTTCCAGGGATATCTATAAAGCAGAGTAAACCTATGAACATCTGCACAACCCTATGGATCACAGAGTCTCCTGAATTCTGTGCTCTGGAAACAGATAGTTTCTGTGTGTGTGTGGAGATATCTGGGTCCCCAGTAGCCTCATCTACTGTCCTACTTCCCAGGAAAGCTGCACCCTTACTCCATTTCTGGCTTTCCTCAGTACAATTTCAGCGACTAAACTTGATGAATGTTCATGTGGCTTATGGGGAAGGAGTATTTGAGTCCTGACTTTCTATTGTGAAGAACTACAAATGTGGCAAGAAATATTCACCTCAAACTATCCATATGAGCAGCTCTGGGCTGACAGACCCTCTGTTGGTTATGCTAAGGTACTTCTTCTCTGGTCATCCCCCTCCTCAGAAATGCTGGAGATAGGTGCAGAAAAGCTCTGCCCCAGCTCTGGAGCCCTTGGCACTGCTGCAAGCTACTCACTAAGCTTGTTGTGGTACAAGGACACCCGGAAAGCAAAAGTCCAGAATTCTAGGGATAGTACTGAGGAGTGAAAAGGACAGCCAGTGAAGTTTTGCTCTGGAGAATCTCTTCTCTCAGAGAAGGCCTTGTGTTTGTTGAGCTGAACGGGTGGATGGGGAGCCATGGTGGTGCTGGTCTCTGGAATAGGTTCAATGGATCTTTCCACGTGTCTCTCCCCAGCAGGAAAGCATGCCCTTTGCAGTAGTGGGCAGTGACAAGGAGTACCAAGTGAATGGCAAAAGAGTCCTGGGCAGGAAAACACCTTGGGGAATCATTGAAGGTAAAAACCCTCTTGCTTATGGGAGCTGAACATGTTGTCTGCAGATCACAGTAATAGACAAGGGTCCAGATAGCATGTCCTGTGGCTACCTTCCCATCCCATTCGTGACAAACTGCTTGAAACCAAGCAAAAGGAGAATTCTCAAATAGCTGTGCCAGGAGAGAACTGCTATGGTCAATATGGTGCCACTATCACCACCTGGCAGAAGCTGGAGCCACTCTGAACACCATGGTGTGTGAAGCTAAGCTCCTGAGGCTGCCCTGGTTTTCAAATGAAAATTCATCATCTCTTATTGTGTCTCCTCAATGCTTGACAGCATGGCATTCAGACAACTGTCTGTCCTTTCTGAAGTATGCAAGCTCTACCCACTTGGAACCTGCCCCCATGGTAATGCTCTATAACCACAAAGGGACTGTTGAAAAAATCAAATGTAACAAGTGCTTGCTTTCTTTTCAGTGGAAAACCTCAATCACTGTGAATTTGCCCTACTTCGAGATTTTGTCATCAGGTAAGGTCATGGTCATGCACCAATTTGCTCTTGATGAGTTGGGAGTCTTCCTGAGATCCACTCAGAATGAAAGAGCCCCTACTAAAAGGGAAATAAAGTAAATTTCAGGCAGTGAAAGCTTATGTGGTGTAGGGTTGGATTGAGTTAAGGGGTAGATACTCCAGTGCCTCTCCTAGTGACATGACCACTATGTCAGGTAGGTGCTAGTTTTCGTGGATGAGCTCGATGCCTGGAGAAAAGCAGGATAGTACCACCCCTCTCAAGGTTGCAAAAACTCCCATTAAGGAAGTTTAAAAAAAATCCCTTTACGTTTGCAAAATCTTTTATTTGCTGCTGACAACAGGCTAGTAATAAAGAGGTCACTAGCACATCCTAGATTGTGTTTCCTTCCAAGTTGAAGGACGTGCTGGAATATATGAGCTGGAAGTGAAAAGCTTCATATTTCATAGCTTTCATTGTCCTATCTTATTTCTACTCTGTTTCATGAAGTTGCCTTGGCACAAATTCTGCAGGAGAGCTGTAGATCCAGGGTCAGGTCTCTTCTCTATAAAAACAACACAAAAAATAAGAAAATAATAGAAACACAGTTCAAAGCCAAATCCCTGTGGCTCATTCCAATTGCGGGTATGGTGCTATTGAGACATTTGACCATGTACAAGGCTTTGACATCACCCTACTTAACTCTTTGTTCTGTAATACCTTCTGCAGCAGAGGTGTTTTCCGAAATCTTTCAGTAAAAACATCCTAGCCAAATGATCATCACAAAGCCTCTAACAATCCAAACCCCCAGGCCGTCTGTGGAGGTTCTGGATGATGCTCACAGCAGTGTTCTGCAGCTCATGATCTGCAATAAACCTGGTACATCTCCTGATGCTTCCTTGTCTCACCACTGCTTCAGATAAGCCCTAGTCTGCTCTGACACACCAGGATGGCCAGTGGCTGTGCCTGTGGCACAGGTGTGAGAAGGGCACTGGCAAGAACAGCCAGGAACTTCAGCCCATGTCCTGCATCCTGCCTATGTGTTCTCAAATGCTGACACTCCAGCTCTCAGTTGTGTATGATAGCATCCATGCTATCCATGCAGAAAGAGGGGTAAAATAATTAGCTAAACTGAGTGACTGAAAAAATCTTCCATTTATTTTGGGGAATAAAATTATCATCAGAAGAATAATACTTATTGTGCTGATATTGGCTGTCGTATGCTCGTTTCCCAAACTACTTTGTCCCCTGCAGGACCCACCTTCAGGACCTAAAAGAAGTGACCCACAACATCCACTATGAGACCTACAGAGCCAAACGGCTGAATGACAACGGAGGGCTGCCCCCCATGACTGTGGAGACAGAGGAAAACCACGAAAGTAACCTGTGAAAGACCCTCCCCCTCCCTGGTCACCTGGTGACTCTGGATAGACAACCCACCCCTGCTACCCTTGACTCAACCATGGGCCTGTCTCTGAAGCATGTGGCACATCCTCCGTGGGAGTGAGAGGATGCAAGTGTGAGTGTGTGCGGGCGTGCATGTGCTTCCCTGTGTGCCGGAGAGGGACAAGGGCATCTCCCCCACCCTTCCCAGAGTGTCCCCATCCTTGGTTTGTTTTTTGCACAGTGGACTGTCCGTCAGCTTCCTTTCTCTTGTTTCTGTATCTCAGCTGTGTATCTTGCCTGGGGGAAATAGTGTTGGGGGGGAAGGATTTCGAGGGGCATGGACTTTGGAGGGGGTAGGTGTGGGGCATGCTTTGGTCCTGTTTTTATCACTTGAAGACATGGCAAGGAGAGACTCGGGGAGAGATGATGGAGTTGATGCATGCACGTTTCAAGAAATGTCAGCAGAGATTTCTCTTGGATCTTCCATGGGTGTAAAGACAGCTAGTTGGTCTGAGGGCATGGTGGCCTGGCATTTTATCCCCTTTTCTTGCTGTGGCTTCCCAAGGGGAAATGGCAGCTTGGAACAGGGTAAATGAGAGAAGACAGGCATGTTTTGTGGTTCAGAGCAAGTGACTGGTGGGAGGAGACAGAATTAGGTCTTGGCCTGTAACATCTGTTTGAGAAGCATCAAAGTATTTGGGGAAAATGGATGTATTTTCCAAAAGAAGCAAAACTCAGAGGAAAAGAATGTGTTCCTGCTGCAGAGGGTGCATTTGTCCAGCACTAAGGTCAAAAGCCATGCTTGTGTCACAGGCATTTGACTCTGTGCAGATCAAACCAATCTGTGCTAGGGTCACCCGTGCCCCTGCTGCAATCCTCCATTGCAGTGGTCTCTCTCCACCAGCACTGAGCAGGTCCTGGCTAAACCCTTCCCCACAACATGGCCCCTCTGCTGTGGGTGCACAGGGAAAACAATGCACAGGGAGTCCCTGCTAGGACCACCCCCAGGGACAGTTCCACTTGGCATAGCACCTTGAGGATCTTGGAGGAGTGCAAACAGCCATGGATTAAGAAGCACTGGGCCAGGGTGGGGACACAAGAGATACCTCTTCTTCATTCTCCTCATTGAAATGGCTGCATTTGCTACAGCAGCAGTGCTGTTCCTCTGCTCTCTTACTGTCCCATATCCTCCTGTGCTTTTGTCCTCATTCCCTTTTAGCCCTCCACAGCTTTCTTCTTTCCTTTCCCTGTTTCACTTTCTCTGTTCTTTACCTTTTTAGTCTTTCCTTCATTTCTCCAAGTACTTGAATATTCCTCTTCTTCAGGCTGTTTCCTTCCTCTCTCAAGCTCTCACAACTTCTTAACAATGTGCTTTTGTGTCCTGTTGAGAAGCTGTTGTTTTACCTTTCCCTGGAGGGGATGGGGAGGGAAGGCAAAGACCTGTGAGCAGAAAAAGGCACAGCTTTACTGAAGACTACATGCTTGTGTCTAGCTGGTATGTCAGCTGTTTCCTGGGTGTCCCTGGGCGAGGTCAAAAGTGCCAGGGCTGTCTGGGCAGAAGGAAGGAGGGGAGAAGACCAGAAATGTTCTGTGGTTGGCAGTGTCTGCCTGTCTTTGCATATCACATGCCCGGGCAGGGGCTGTCCCTCCAGGAGTGCTGCCAGCCACACTTTAAACGCACATGTGGAATGCCAGCCTGGAAAGGCTGGCACTGGAGGGAGGAAGAAGAAAACAGCAAATGAGCAGCAGAGGAGGACTCAAGTCAAATCTGATGTTCATTGACAGAGCTGTATGGGGGCCAGGGCTGGGAATAGGGTTGTCCAAGCCTTAGCGAAACTGTCACTGCAAAGCAAAGGAAGGTTCTCTTCACTCTCACTCCCACCTGTCCACACAAATCAGCCATTGTCAGCACCACTAGGATGTGAGGGCTGTACCAGCACTTCCTAGTCCTTTCATTGCCCACATTCACAGCTCCTGGTGTTCCAGTATGCAGTATGTGCATATAGCCGTCCACACCCTTCCCCCTGCACCAGGCCTCCTCAGTCCTGCAGGGAACAGGAGCCTTGTCACTGGTGCCAGCAGCCACACCATGGACCTTGCAGAAACCATCCTGCCACGCTGCCGCCCATCCAGCCACACAACTGGCCCTCATCAGCCCAAGGACATCAAAGATGGGAACCTCATCAAAGACACTGCCAGGGCTCTGCTTATTCACTGCACTGAAGCACGAAGCCACATTCCATCACCTTCACCCTGGGCTACAGAATGGTAATCTTTATGACTTTTGGGCCCAGCCAAGGGTTAGGGCAGAGACACAGTGCTGCCCTGTTTAAAGAAAGCAAAGCAGACCCATGCAACAGAAGAGAGTGACTTTCCTTTGCCTGTAATGTGGATTTCAAGGACAAAGCTGTGTGTTTTGCCCTGTAGGTTTAGGAGTATTTGTTTGTAATAACGTGTTTTTTACACCCTGCTCTGTAATTTCTTGTCGGATCATAGACTACTTCTAAAGGATCCGTAAAAGCTTGTTGAGGAAAACAAGCTCAGGTGCTCCTCACTGCCATCTGCTCATGCCAATATCCTGCCACCATCCCGTGTACCTACCAGGAAGTCGACAAATGGCAAATACAAAAAAAAAAACAAAAACCCCACGTATGACACGTATGACAAAGGGAGGTACTGTTGGGAAGAAGTCTCTGTGAATGGATAAGCTGGGAAAAGCCTGAATCGTGCACCACCAGCTGAGTTCCAGGATGACCACAGCAAGCCAGCTGAGATATCCCCTGAATGATATCGCAGAGGGGAAGAGTCTAAACCTGACATCAGAAATGCCCACTCAGCGCATTCAGAGGCTCACAAACTGTTCACCAGATAAGCCGTTCACCACAAAAACTTTGCTAAGCACGGCAAATCCTGGACAACTTCCACTGAGGCAACCACGGCAGCGAACAGACGTGGTTGCACGGAGCAGAGAGAGCCAGAGGAGCGAGCAGGGCCGCGCGTAGGCACCCGTGTCTGTGGTTCGTTGTGCGGCCCGGCACAGGGCCGGGCGGGGCCGCCCTTTCAGCGTCCCCGCCATTAAACCAAGCCAGCGCCGCCTCGCTTCCGCCTCGCTTCCCTCTCACTTCCGCCTCGCGCGCGCCGCCGGCCGCGACCGCCGCGGGGGGCGGGGCCAAGGGGGACGGGTTCCCGGGGCGGGGCCGCGCTGGGTGTGACGTCACTGTCGTCACAGGGTCAGGGGCGGGGCCGGTGTGCAAACATGGCGCTGAACAGGAACCACTCTGCGGAGGGCGGTGTCGTCATCCCCAATGCCGAGAGGTACCTGGGGGGCTGCGAGGCCGGGCGGGTCCTTCTTGTCCCCTGTCCCCTCAGCAGGGTGGGGCCCGGTGGTGGGAGGTTCCCACTGGGGCGACCCTCGTTTCCTGCCCGGCTGCGCAGGCCCGGCTCGGCCTGGGGTCTGCGTTTCTAAAGGGCTCCCTGGCAGGGTGGGGACGGGCTGGGGCGGGCAGCGGAGAGCAGTGGGGAGCAGGCTTGGCTGGAGTCCGTAGAGCTGCCCCGTCTTTAGCGCGGAAGCTCGGGGGTCGTTAAAGCCGCTCCGGCGGGAGTCCTGGGTGATGACTGAGGCTGCCATCGCTTGTAGAAGTCAAGGAATTGGGTCTTTTTAAAGATCATGCACTTAGTGACGGCAGAGCCTATTTAAGGTAGGAGTCTTAATCACTTGAATTCATAAGTAAGGAACTTGAATTCAAGTTCCTCTGCGCGGAAAAGCGCCTCTCCATGGAAGCACAGCGCGCTGCGCGACGCCTGCCCTTGCCCCAAGCAGGGAGTGATGGACCAGCTTAACAGACTTGGGCTGCAGTTTGGTCGTGTTTGGGTGCTCCCAGCATCCTGGCAAGAGAAATCCTAGAAACCCGAGGCCCAGTAAAGGATCAAAGGAATTGGTTTGGGTCTGGTGGTCAATAAGAAAATTACACTCCAAAAATACGCTCCATCTTGTGTTGAGTTTGGAGCTGGCTCCTAATCCTTCAGTCTGGAAGGTCCTCTGACATGTTGAGCTCATTCTGGTTTAAAGGAGATTTCTCTGTCTTTTGAATCCTGGCTGCATCAAAAGCAGTGTGGCAGAAGGTCAGAGGAGGTGATTCTGCCTCTGTATTCCACTCTGGTGTGACCTCACCTGGAGTGCTGCATCCAGCTCTGGGCTCCCCAGCTTAACAAGGATGTGAAACTGTTGGAGCAAGTCCAGAGGAGGCCATGAAGTTGGTAAGAGGAATGAAGCAGTTCCTCTGTGAAGACAAGCTGAGAATGTTGGGGCTCTTCAGCCTGAAGAAGAGAAGGTTGTGTGGAGACCTCCTTGCAACCTTTCATATCTGAAGGGGACCTCCAGGGAAGGCACAGAGGGACTCTTTGTCAGGAGCTGTAGTGCTAGGACAAGCTGAAAGAAAGGAAATTTATGCTAGACATTAGGAAGAAATTCTTTACTCTGAGGGTGGTGAGGCACTGGAACAGGTTGCCCAGATGAGCTGTGGATGCCCCAGCCTTTGCCGTGTTCAAAGCTGGGTTGGATAACGCCTTGAGCAAACTGATCTAGGGGAAGGTGGCTATGGCCATGGGCAGGGAGGTTGGCACTAGGTAATCTTTAAGATCTCTTCCAAGCCTTAACATTGGCTTGAGATCATAAAACCATACGTTCTTTGGGGTGCTGCTCAGTCACAAGTAAGGGCAGTGTGGCTCCATAGGGTGCACAGCCTCCTGTGACAGCCCTGGACAGGCATGCAGGTGCAGACCGGTTCAGCAGCATAATTACTCTCCGTGGTGGTGGTTGCATGTTATTTGCTTGTGTGAGTAGCTGCAAAGCAGTAAACATTACAATGACTGCATAGAAATTCTTGCCAGTGAGGCAAAATGATGTGAAATGCTGCTACAAGACATGATTGAGGGAGCGTTCTGGTAAAATTAAAACTGTTAAAAAGTTGGTTGCATTTAGCTTAGAATATATGATTTCCCCTTGCATTTTGGAAATGAAAAGAGCTCTGCTGTCTCATAAGTC